ATCCTCCCTTTGTGTAATGTGTAAGTGAGATCACACTTAATTGATTAATATTTCTTACAAATTCAGATATTTATGTTTATGGCTCCCCCACTGGTAATCTCTGCTTCCTTTAATTTCAGGAAGTGATGTTATGTTGGATAAAAAGGGTTCCATGTGAAACATGTTTCAAACAATTATATCAACACTTAAAATAATTTTAGGAGTCTTTATTTTTACTGTTGGCTGGTTGGTTAGTTATTTTTCTCATTTCTATACTGCCAAAATCAAAGGACTCCTGGCAGTTTACAAGAACCAAAGCATAAATCAGTACCAGTAAAAACCCAATGAAACTACAGTGAAAAATAAAATCAACTGGGACTATTATTTCAATCATCAAATGGCATCTTAAACTAGTTTAAGATTGAATGTGCTCTAAAATTAAGCCAGGCTTGCTACTGATCAGATCTCTATGGGAGCCTGTTCCAGAGGGCAGGGGGCTCTTGTGGGTTGGGAGCCCACAATATCCAGGATAAGTGGATTAGATGAGTTGGTTCTAACCGGAGATGGCAAGTACTTAGCAGTCAATCTATTTAGAGCTTTAAAAATCAAAAGCAACATTTGGCATGGTACCTGGAAGCTTACTGGAAACCAGTGCAAAGCCTGGAAAATAGATGTCACTTGGCTGTAATAGCTTTTGCTCATCGGCATGCAGGTCATTGAATTTTGCACCACTTGCGGCTTCCAAGTAGTTTTAATTCTCTGAGCCCAAGAATAAAAATGGATGTTTCCAAAAATATTATAAAAAAATAGATGAACATTTCTGTGCTATCAAATAAGCAATCAGCATACTCCCATTTATTTATTTATTGTTTTAACTATTTATATATTGTAGCTGTTTATCTTGCTTCTGGAAGTTTGGGAAGCCAGCAATAGATTAAATGATGGATTGGCTGATTATATGTGTTCATAGTGGCCATACAGACAGATTTTTTTTCCCTGGACCATCTGGTTCTTTAGATTTTCTAAACCAAGGGTCCCCAACCCCCTGGCCCTCGTCTGTTAGCAACCGAGCCGTGGAAGAGATGGGCAAGTGCATATGCCCATGAGCGGAGAGCACTTGCCCATGAAGTTCCACTCATGGGAGTGGGGGGTGCTTACACTCACGTGTGAAGCTCCATTTGTGTGAGTGACACTTTGTATGCAGGCACAAGCGCCTCCGCTCAAGCACAAGTGCCTGCTGCTCGCATGAGTGGAGCTTTGTGTGTGAACGCAAGCACCCTCTGCTCGCACACGAAGCTCCATTTGCACGAGTGGAAGGTACCTGCCATTCACATGCCCCCTCCCCCCCTCCCTAAGCCACCAAACTGGGAAGGTTCGGGACCATTGTTGTAGATGGTGCATCCATCACCACTATAATTGAGTCCATCGACCCTGTGGCTAGTTGTCCTCCTTTTCTCTTACCTTCCAACTTTTTCAGCATTATATATTTCTCATGAAAGTTACGTCTTCACATAAAATATAATAAGCACTTCTTGTCACTTCAAAATATGCCTGGAGTGAAAACTCTGAACTTACTTGTTCTATCATCCATTTGTTTGCATTCTTGACTACTCACAGTGTTCTCAGGAGTGGTCCAACACATCCAAAGTATCAATATTGTTTTGCTCCTGCTTTTTCAAAGTTCATATTTCACTTCTTTAGAAGGTCATGATTCTGATACATCTCAGCATCTAATATCTTTCCCGAGTTCTGTATTTCTTGAGATACGGTTTCTTTACAGTTGAGAGCTGATCCTAAAAAGCAGAAACCTCCCACCACTTTGGTATCTTCATTGTCTGTTCTAAAGCCAATTTCTTTAATACAAATAATCTGACCCTATGCCATGTTGGGCTTTATAGATAACAATCAGCACTTTGAATTGCACCCAGAACTCCATTGGGAGCCAGTGCTGCTTACAGAACGGAGGCACTCCATGGAGATACTATGGAGTGCTTCAAACTGCCCATAGTGCTGTATTCTGGACCTCTTGCAACAACTTCTAAATGTTATTCAAGGGTAGTTCATATTGAATCAATTGCAAACCAATTGGGTCTGATAAGTGTAGTAGCTACTGAGATCCTATGGATGGCGCTAGATGCTAGTAGCAAACTGCAGCTGTGTAGAAAACCTATATGGGGCCTCTTGGCTATTTGCATGATCTCATTCCCTATATCTTGGTGAAGGTGGAAAGTCCCAGACTTTCCGGACTTATAGGTGACTTCATTTTACTAACATCACCACTAGTCTTAAGGATTGGTTGGGAGGTTGTACCAATGTAGTTGAGAGGTTTCACCCATGTGGGATCTCCAACCCAGGTGCTGCATCTATGCTGCCTTTGTCTTCTTGTAAAAACCCTATAAATGTAATAAACACTGCCCATGCAGTCAGACATCTTGGCACCCTGCACAATGACTGGTCTTTGAAACCCATCATTTTGGTGCCCGAACAGGGACATCAACCCTGCAGGGTAGGGCCATCAACCCTCCGGGGTAGGCAACAGCCAACATGCTTACCATCGTCTAGAAACAGACCCCGAAGGTGCGCACCTTCGTCCTACAGGACCCCAGGTCCTATGGGACCCATCAATGGTAAGTATGGGTTGCAATCTATCTCAGCAACAGCATAAACATGTACAGGAATTAAGATTCCTGTTACACAAATGAGGCGTTACAGCATCTGAGGGGAACATAAGGAAGCTGGTTGGGAGATAGGGAAATGGTATCCTGAGCGGAATAGAATAGAATAGAATAGAATAGAATAGAATAGAATAGAATAGAATAGAATAGAATAGAATAGAA